AGCCACTTTCGTCTTTCACAAGATTTCTTCACTGTATTGTATAATCCCTTCCCTTCTGGAAAGGGACCAACCCAAGATTGTGAAGGCAGACAGTTCCGGTAACATCAGCTGATCCTCACTTAGCTAAATGTAATCTGAGGTAGGCATTTCACATGCATTATTTCATTTAATCTTGGATGACTCTACAGGGTTGCATAATAATCTTAATCCATTTTTTTTTTTTTGAGAGGGGTCTCACTCTGTTGCCCAGGTTGGAGTGCAGTGACATGTTGCCCAGGTTGGAGTGCAGTGACAGAGGCCACAACCTCTGCCTCCCAGGTTCAAGCTATTCTCCTGCCTCAGCCTCCTGAGTAGCTGGGACTACAGGCATGTGCCACCATTGCTGGCTATTTTTTGTATTTTTTAGTGGAGACAGGTTTTCACTATGTTGGCAATCCTTTTTCAAGATAAGGGAATTGAGGTTCATATTTAATCTTGCTAACATAATTGTATTTATATGTTCATATTTCCATGGAACAATACAGGATGGGTTGATTTAACTTCAGCTCCACTATATACTGTGTTCACATATAAAAAGAATCCTGGCCGGTGCAGTGGCTCTCGCCTATAATCCCAGCACTCTGGAAGGCCAGGGTGGGTGGATCACCTGAGGTCAGGAGTTCGAGACCAGCTTGGCCAAAATGGTGAAACTCTATCTCTACTAAAAATACACACAAAAAAATTAGATGGGCATGGTGGGGCGTGCCTTTAATCCCAGTACTTGGGAGGCTGAGGCATAAGGATCATTTGGACACAGGAGGTGGAGGTTGCAGTGAACTGAGATCATGCCACTGCACTCCAGCCTAAGTGACAAGAGAGAGAGACTCCATCTCAAAAAAAAAAAAAAAAAAGAAACCCTACTGAAAGTGATAGCATTTCCAAGGCCCAGTACAGTGCCTGGTAAAATTAAGGTCTTGAAGAATCATTGGTTAAATAAATTAATCTAAGTAAATATTGGAGCTGACAAAATTGTGCCTCACACTTCGTAACTGTGCCTTCACCCAGCCCTCATCTACTGCCACCTCTTACAACTCCTGCCTGGCACTTCTGCCTGACTGTCCCTGCCAGCCCTCTCTTCAGCCCCAACCAAGCACCCAGCATACAAACACGCTTATAGCAAATCACATAAACTCTGACCTAAACTTCCAATTAAATAGGCTGCCTGCCTCCCCACCCATGCATTTAGAATTCTCTAGGCCACAGAAAGATCAGCTTCACAGAACTGGCCTCATCTGAACCTGAACAAACACTGACAGGAGTCTAAAGTCCTACTTTTGCTCAGAGCAAAGCACACATAAATGGGTCTGGGTGGGAGCTGGCCCCATTCCACTGCCAGGCTAGAGCTGTATATGGTGATACAGTCGGCCCTCATTATCTGTGGATTCTGCAGCCACAGATTCAACCAACTGTGACTAGAAAACATAAGGGGAAAAGAATTCTGAATGCATACAGACATTTTTGTTCACTATTCCCCAAATATATAACAACTCTTTACATAGCATTTACATTGTATTAGGTATTTAAATAGTCTAGAGTTGATTTAAAGTACATGGGAGACTGTGCATAGTTTATAGGCAAATACTATGTCATTTTATATCATGGACTTGAGCATTCATGGATTTTTGTGTCCATGTGGAGTCTTGGAACCAATCCACCATGGATATTGAGGGATGACCATACTTACAAATTCAGGATTGGTTCTTTGGCCTCTTCTAAAAAGTACTTTTTATAAATGGAGAAAGTAGGAAAATAATACAAGGTTTTCCTTGAGAATACCACTAGCGCCTACAGCACAGAAAGGTAGCTGGAATTTCACCTAAGTATTCTGTGATTAATAAATAGCTGTTAATAATTGGTTTAACCACAGAATCACCATTCTTCATTTTTTCTTACATACAATGTGGCTGGGACACTACAGATGTTATTCTCTAATTTAAAACCACTGCAGGGATCTTTTGATATTGCTTTTATAAAAACTTAAAGCAGTGAATTAAATTTGCAATAATTCTAAAGTGAGAGAAAGAGAACAATTATCATACTGATGAAAGGAAGGTAAAATATATGATGATGTATTAGCTCCAACTGGCAAAAATTTTAATTAGAAATATCAGAAATAACAATAGCTCCTTGTTGTGAGGTCTTTGTGCCTGGTACTTACAGGTGATCCTTACGAGAAAAGGGAATAATTATTTTAGGGAATGAGGCTTAGGGAAGTTAAATGACTTGTACAGGTTTCTCTGACTAGTCACAATGCCAGAACGTGGAATCAAGTCTTTCTGGCTCCAGAGCTTAATAATGACACTCCTTAGAACTTCCTGAAGCAGGCTGAGGTCAGAAAAGCTTTCCTTAAGTTCATTTGTTTATAAGCCAGTCCTAGATGCACTTTTGCGGTATCAGAATGTGAACCAGTCCTTTAAAGCTTTAAAACAAAGCTGACGTTTCTCCTTTATGCTGAATATACACGCTACAGGGCATCTTTTCCAAACAGGGAAGCTAACTACCCCACAGTTTGCAGGCTTAGCTACAAATTAAAATCATCTGGAGAGTTTTTAAACAGTACCAGAGCCTGAGCCCCTATGGCATGAGAATCTCTGGGGACAAAGCTTGTTAATGTGTGTTTTTAAGTGTTTCCCAAGAATTACTGAACTAACTTATTAATAATATGTGCTGGGGCAAGTAACGATCTCCACAAGCATCCTGGGACATCTTCAGTGCAGTAGTTCTCACCTTCCACTGTTCATAAGACTCACCAAGGGACCTTTAGAAAATTTTGATGCTCAATTCATACCCCAGAACCATCAGATTCTCTGAGGGTGGGCCAGAGGCATCAGTAGTTTGTAAAGCTCTCCAGGTGATGCCAGTGTGCTGCAAGGCGTAGCTCCATGGCTTTAGCAGCTAGCGACGTGCACCAGAAATCCAAACCCTCCTTTGGTGTTCCAATGTGCCATCCACCAGCAGCACCACCACATCAACAGCCTTTTTCTCAAACTCCCTGCCCTCTCCCTTAGGGTCAGGCCCCTGAAGTGGTACTAACACCCAAAGTTTCTCCATGTGCCAGGCACTTCCCCCAGCTCCCTGCACATGTGCATGCCGGCATATGAGAAATGCTGCATGAGTCTCCCTTCTGTCCTTAATAATCATTCCTACGATTGGATGATTCATTCCACATGGAAACGCGTTTGTCATTCTTCCACCACTTTCCATTTTATTATCTCCACTTCCGTTTCTCACTTATTAGCATTTTTAACACTGTCACTACTTTTGCTGTTACGTACAATATGGGATTAATGCTGTTCTGGATTCATTAAATTTAGGTACAAAGCTGCAGGCTAAGGAACAACACTGAAACCAAGTGTTGCTGGCTGAAACTAAGCTGACATCCCAGACCCACTGCTATTCATTAGATGTGGGCAGGGTTGAGGTCCTCTTTGTTTTGCAGGGCACCTCTGTTTACAACTGTAGAAGTTCATCACAGAATTCTATGTTTTGGTTTTTTGTTTGTTTGTTTGTTTTCTGAGATGGAGTTTCACTCTTGTTGCCCAGGCTGTGGTGCAATGGCACAATCTCGGCTCGCCGAAACCTCTGCCTCCCAGGGTTCAAGTGATTCTCCTGCCTCAGCCTCCCAAGTAGCTTGGACTACAGGCACACAGCACCATGCCTGGCTAATTCTGTATTTTTAGTAGAGACGGGGTTTCTCACATCACAGAAAGTTTTGAAGCAGCAGAGCTTCATGTTGCTTTTTGATTACGTGCAGCTCCTTCGGATGCAGAGCTCAAAAGGTTATACTACATTTCCAAGGCACACATTTTAAATAACAACAAAGATCTTTATGGTTATTAAAGACTGAAAAGCTCTGTACATCGCCGTTCTAAAGTTCTAAATTATATGAAAATTCTCACGAGGCCTAAATGAAAAATATTGCATACTACAAGCAAAATGCTTTTTACCCAACAATATTTAAATGCAAAAGAAGCAGCATTCAGGGTGAAGATATCCTCTCAAAGGGCAAATCAGGTGTTGATTAAAGCTTCCCTAAAATTATACTATTGTGGACTACTAATGAATGGCTGACAAAGTTAATCCCTGGCATCATCCTGCAAACAATCCCCCAACCACATACAAATAACAACATCAGTAAAAGAAAGCTCATACCACTAAGAAATGCATCTGCCTCATAAAATAGTTCTGAACTAGGTAAGACTTTGTCCATTACTTTGCTTTTTTCAATGCTATCTCAGACTATTTCTGCAAAACTGTCAATGGAAAAAACATAGACAATGAATTTAGAGTCTACGATGGAAAAAGCAGATTTGATTTCCATACAAATTATGAGATAAAATGTAGCAATAATACATTCCAATAATTTTTATGGGAAAAATCAAGATTACTGACATTTTAACTAAGATCTCTACTAATGTCCCAAGTTAATTTCAATCCTGTTCATAATCATTGGTATTTAAGAAGAAATGTCAGGATAATATTTAAAAGTTAATTAAAAGCAACATAAGCACTTCTGTCAGTCAAGCATGACCTCTGCTCTACAACACATTTAAATGCATGTCACCTTGACCTGTAACACAGCAATGTAAAAAATTTTGGTCAATATAAATCAAATGTACACTAATTTATTCAGCAGGTTTCCTGGTATCTGAATCAACATCAGAAATCTAACCAGTATTTGTTATTCTGTTATTGACAAAAGGAAGCATATTTAAATGATAACAAGTACTCATGGGTGTCATTTGGAAGTTAAATTGTTCCCCAAGGACAGCCTCCATAAACAGCTACATTTAAAGGTCATTTACCACCAAATTATGAACAACTGTTGCATTTATTAGCTCAGGCTCAATAGTTTGGAAGCTGCAGTCATCAATTTTTACTGACAATGAGATCTAATTGTTCACCAATAATAAACAAGGAAAACAGAACTTTTTAATAAACTTATCCTGCACTATACTCACATTTTAAAAATTTGGTTGCCCACTTTCCACAGGTATGCATCTGAAGAAAAACCCTCCAACTGCAAAATAAATATCAGATAATAAAATGTAAAAATGGTTCTCATTTTATATTTATCTGAACAAAAAGGAGAAAAGCACTACAAAGTTTATGAAGGAAGAGTGCATTTCACTTTTGGAAGGTGGTATAATGATTAATTTTACGGGTCTACTTGACTGAGCCATTGGGTGCCGAGATACTCAGTCAAACATTACTCTGGGCGTTTCTGTGAAAGTGTTTTTGGATGAGAGTCATATATTTAATTCTGTAGGCTGAGTAAAGAATATTATCATTCATAATGTGAGTGAACCTCTTTGAATCTCGGAGGCAACATATTTCTCATTTGGACGTGTTATTTCTGTCCATTCATCAAGTGACTTGAAAAGCTTTTAGTTTTGAGTGGGTTTCAGAATACGGACAGGCTCTGCAATAGGTCCGAGCTGCCATACAAACTGCTCTGCTACTTGGGCCATATGAACCAGCAGATCCAATGGTGCCTGAAGTACCGGTGGCAGATACGGATGCTGTCTGGAGTCTCTGGCGGGTTGCTAGAGGTGAACTGCAATGCAGGTTCTTGAATTTTGGAGCAAAGCCCTGCCAACTTCTGTGGATAATTACTCTGCTTTTGAGAAACAGCTCGTACCCTGCTACTGGGTTTTAGTAGACACTGAATGCTTAACCATGGGCCACCAAGGTACCATGTGACCTGACCTGGCCATCATGAACAGTGTGTTATCTGACCCATCAAGCTATAAAGTTAGGCATGACCAGCAGCACTCCATCATCAAATGGGAAGTGGTATATAGGAGATGAACCCAAGCAGGCCCTGAAGGGGAAAGTAAGTTACAGAAAGAGGTGGCCCTAATCCAGCTACACTGCCTTCTCTCTCCCAGCCTGCACCTATGGCCCCATGGGGAGTTCCCAATGATCATTTTGACAGAGGAAGGGAAGACTAGTGCCTGGCTTACAGCTGGTTCTACATTATAAGCAGGTACTACCTGGAAGTGGACAACTGTAGTACCACTGTCCCTCTCTAGGGTATCTTTGAAGGAAAACGGTGAAGAGAAATCCTCTCTGTGGGCAGAACTTCAGACAGTACATTTGATGGTGAACTTTCTTTGGAAGGAGAAATGGCCAGACATGTGATTATAGAACAATTCAGGGGCTGTGGCCAATGGTCTCAATGGTCAGGGACTTGGAAGGAATATGACGTGGAAGACCAAGTCTTCCAAGAAGACCTACATGGAAGACCTCTCTAAACGGACAAAAAACTGTGAAGATATTTGTCTCATGTGAATGCCCACCAAAGGGTGATATCAGCAAATGAAGATTTTAATAATCACGAGGATTTGAATAAAATGACTGATTCTGTGCATACAAGTCAGCCTCTTTCCCCAGTCACCACTGTCATTAGGCAATGGGGTCATAAAGCAGCCATGGTGGCAGGAATAGAGGTTATACAAGGGCTCAGAAATATGGACTTCCACTCACCAAAGCCAACCTGGCTGCAGTCACTGCAGAGCACCCAATCTGCCAGCAGTTGATCAACACTGAGGCCCTGATATGGCACCATTCGCTGGGATGATCAGCCAGACACCTGACAGCAGGTTGATTACATTGGATTGCTTCCAACATGAAAGGGGCAGAATTTTGTCCTTACTGGAACAGACACTCTGGATATAGATTTGCCTTTCCTGCACACAATGCTTCTGCCAAAACTACCATCAGTGGACTGACAGGATACTGTATCTGCTCTCATGGAACTGACTTCATAACAAATGAAGAGAGGCAATGGTCCCATGCTCATGAAATTCACTGGGCTTACCATATTCCCCATCATCCTGAAACAGCTAGCTTGGTAGAATGATGGAATAGTCTTTTGAAGACTCAGTTACAGTGCTAGCTAAGTTGCAATACTTCACAGGGTTGGGTTAAGTTTCTTCCCAAGGCCATATATGCTCTGAATCAACATATAATGTATAGTGCTGTTTCTCCCATAGCCAGGATTGATATGTCCAGGAATCAAGGGGTGGAAATGGCAGTAGCACCACTCACCATTATCCCTAGTGACCCCCTAGCAAAATGTTTGCTTCCAGTCCACAGGACTTTATGCTCTGCAGGCCTAGAGGTCATAGTTCCATAGTGAAGAATGCTTCTACCAGGAGACACAATGATACCAATGAAATAAAAGCTAAGGCTGTTGCCTAGCCACTTTATACTCTTCATGTCTTTAAATCAACAGGCAAAGATGGGAGTTACTGTGCCATGTACTGCTCTGCCATGTACTGGCTGGGGTGATTGATCCTGCTTACCAAAGGGAAACTGGACTACCACTACTCCACAATAGATGTAAAGATCTCCTGTCGAATACAGGAGATCTCTTCGAGCATGGTATTAGTATTACTGTACCCTGTAATTAAAGTCAATGAAAAAACTGCAGCAACCCAATTCAGGCAGGATTACTAGAGCCCAGACCCTGAGGAATGAAGGTTTGAATGACCTACCAGGTGAAGAAACACAACCAGCTGAGGTGCTTGCTGAAGGCAAAGGGAATATAAAATGGGTAAGGTATTTATAAATACCAGCTATGGCAGGGCATGTTGGCTCACACCTGTGTTCCCAGTACTTTGGGAGGCTACAGTGAACAACTTTATATCTTTATGAATTTATGGATACAGACTAAAAAGTTGAAAGGCTGTCTCAAAGGGTGTATAAATATCTTATCTAATAAATTAAATATCTCATCTAATAAATACTGCCAAATTGACCTCCAAAATAGAGTTTCCAACTTTCAGTCTCACCAATAGTGTGTTGAAGAACCTGTCTCCTCTCACCTCCATGTTCAAAAGGACTGGTTTTTAGCAAGCTCTTCCATTTTGCCTATTGAATTTAAAAAAAAAAAAACAAAAACTTGTTTTACTTTGGGTTTCTTCAATTACTAGGGAAATTGATTATCTTCTCTTCCTTTTTTTCTCTTTCTTTTTATTCTTTTGTAACATGTGCCCCTGATGTTTCTCTACTCTTGACAAAAACAAACAAAAAACCATTCCCTACTCGCCGCTGCTTCCAGACCATACTTTTAACTGGAGAGCTTCACTCCCACTGCAACCACTCAACCTAACTCTTCAAGCTCCAACCCATTATGGTCCCATTAAGAAATTAGCAACAATACACACTTCTTACCATTCCCCATACACTTCCTTGAGCCTAAAATTATTTCCCTCCCTTTCTCGAACTGGCAAACTTCCACTCACCCTTCCAGAATGAGCTTTCATTTCAGTGGCCCCTGCCCCGCAATACCAGTACAACCCCTGGGAATGGGAGGTACAGAATAAGTAATCACAGAAATGAATTTTTACTCTACCTGCCTATGTAACCTCAATAATCAGATGAATTGCTATTCCAGTAGCAAGAGAACTGGAGAAAAGGGTGAGGTGTAGAGAAAAGAGAAGCTTACAGTTTCTAAAACAATCCCCAGATTTCTAAATTCAGAGAACTAAGAAAAGGCAGCTGGTGACACTTCACATATTGGCTCTTCCTTAGAATGAGAATTATAAAATCAACAAGAAGAGGGGAATAGCATATTTCAAATATGGTATGTCTTTAAATCAACAGGCAAAGATGGGAGTCTTTAGAAAAACTCAATTGTTCCCCTCAAAAAAAAAAAAAAAGCAACCGAAAAGAGACACCACATTGGGTGTTTCAAATATGCTCAATCTAATAATCAGAATTTAGTCAGCAAATTACATGGGATCTGTGAGGGCTTTTAGCTTTGTGGAAAGTTTTCTGTTCCTTCTAAAGATTTTATGAAAGTTAAAAAAAAATCCTCTTAGAGTTTTCCCAAATCAAATGAAATAGCAAACAAAGTGAGGTAATGGTCCTGTACTCACAGAATTCACTGCTTACCACATTCCCCATCACTCAGAAGCAGCTGGCTTGGTTGAATCATGGAATGGTCTTTCCAAGGCTGTTACAGTGCTGAGTTGTAACGCTTCACAGAGCTGGGCCAAGTTTCTTTTTGGAAGGGAGGGTGGGAGACAAATTCTCACTCTGTCATCCAGGCTGAAGTACAGTGGCAGCATCTCAGCTCACTGCCAACTCCGCCTCCCAGGTTCAAGCAATTCTCATGTCTCAGCCTCCGAAGTAGCTGGGATTACAGAGACACACCACCATGCCTGGATAGTTTTTTGTATCTTTAGTAGAGACAAGGTTTTACCATGTTGGCCAGGCTGGTCTCAAACTCCTGAACTCAAGTGATCTACCCACCTTGGCCTCCCAAGTTGCTGGGATTATAGGCATGAGCCACCACACCAGGCCTCAGTTTCTTTCTCTTGCATTTATTTATTAGGTTGGAAACATAAGGGAAGTGGTAAAAACACCCCACCCGAGTGGATCTAAAGTAAATTCTCAGTTACTATGAGATGACATTTTCCTACTGTGACAGATAATTAAATAACTCAGCTTTTAAAATTTCTTTCTTCCACTCTTTAAAAATTGTTAGAAAAGTAGTATGCACCTCTCACTGTTAATGCCCCTTCATCTCCTACAGAGCTTAATGTGGTTCTACAAATGGAAAAAAAAGATAGAGTAACTCTACTTTCAATGTTTAGAGTGGCCCAAAGATAACAAACACAGCCTGTGAGCTCAGACCATGAGCCAGGAACTTTGGGTAACTTATATACATAAAGCACATCAGTGGTAAGTCTATGTCTTATGTTAATTATGACAACTAAACTGATTTTTTTATCTTGCCCAAATTCCTATCTAAGCGGTCTGGGGAGTCATGCCCTCAGATGGGTTTTATTTAGCCCTATATATCATAATTTACTTTCCAACCTGACTCTGGCATAACATTAACAAATGAAAAAGAAAATCAAAATGTTTTACCCTGAAACATGTTTCTTTGCTATATGTTGAAATGGCCCTGCAAAGCGGTTCTTGTGGGGAAAATGCTGCATCTGTAAAGAATCTCTATTAACATAGGTAGATCTTTTTGTTCCAGACCCTCCCAATCCTAAAGAGATTAACTAAGATCTGCATAGGAAAGATTTGTCACCTGTTGTCTCTAAGGGCAGCCACTATTAGACTTGAAAAGAACTTTGGTCTCCACAATCTTTATCTTATCCCAAACATTTCCCTTTTATCTATCCCAGGTCTTTAGACAAACTCAACCAATTGTCAACCAGAAAATGTTTAAATTCACCTATAGCCTGGAAGCTCCCAGCTTTGAGTTGTTCCACCTTTCTGAACAAACCAACGTATTTCTTATATGTATCTGACTGATCTGATAGATGGCTCATGCCTCTCTAAAATGTATAAAACCAAGATGTGCCCCAACCGCCTTGGGCACATGTCCTCTGGACCTCCCAAGGGCTGTGTCACAGGCCATGGTCACTCGTATTTGGTTTAGAATAAATCTCTCCAAATATTTTACAGAGTTCTACTCTTTTCATTGACAATTATTATTATTTGAGACAGGGTCTTGCTCTGCCACCCAGGCTAGAGTGCAGTAATGTGATCATGGCTCACTGTAGCCTTAATCTCCTGGAGTCAAGCGATCCTGCCACCTCAGCCTCTCAAGTAGGGACCACAGGTACATGCCACTATGCCCAGCTAATTATTTAAATTATTTGTAGAGACAAGTTCTATGTTTCCCAGGCTACTCCTCAAATTCCTGGGCTCAAGGGGTCCTCCCACCTTGGCCTTCCAAAGTCCTGGGATCACTTTCATGAGCTACTGCACACAGCCAATTTTTGTTGGTGGGGAAACAGGTCTGGTCTCCAACTCCTAGGCTCAAGCCTGCCTTGGCCTCTTGAGTGCCTGACACTGGAGGCATAAGCCATTAACTTTTTTCCTTCACTAAACCTCTTAAGGTGAGACTAAGATAAGCAGGTCTCATTCATTCATGTATTCAAGTGCCAATGATTACAATATCCAGGCATGATACCTAGAAATCAATGGCATTAAAACAGACAAGGTCGGCTAGATGCAGTGGCTCATGCCTATAATCCCAGCACTTTGGGAGGCCGAGGTGGGTGGATCATGAGGTCAAGAGATCGAGACCATCCTGGTCAACAAGGTGAAACACCATCTCTACTAAAAATACAAAAATTAGCTGGGCATGGTGGCGCGTGCCTGTAGTCCCAGCTACTCGGGAGACTGAGGCAGAAAGAATTGCTTAAACCCAGGAGGCAGAGGTTGCGGTGAGCCGAGATCATGCCATTGCACTCCAGCCTGGGTAACAAGAGTGAAACGCTGTCTCAAAAAAAAAAAAAAAAAAAAACAGACAAGGTCAGCCTGGGCCTTGTAGCTCACACCTGTAATCCTAGCACTTTGAGTGGTCAAGATGGGTGGATCAATTAAGTTCAAGAGTTCAAGACCAGCCGGAGACAACATGGTAAAACCCTATCTGTACCAAAACTACAATACTTGGCCAGGCGTAGTGGTCGGCACCTGTAGTTCCAGCTACTGAAATAGTGAGACATTTAAAATAATAAATACAATTTTATAAACTGTCTTATTCAGAGAAAGAAATGAAAATGATTCTTAACCATATAAAAAGATGTTCAACTTCATGATTCACGAAATTATGAATGACATTAAGAATTCCACTGCAATAGTATTGTTCACCTATCAGATTGGCACAAATCCAAGAGCCTGAGAACACTCAGTTGGCAAGCTTATGAGGAAGGATATACACTCATAAACTGCTATAGTACAGTCCCTATGGATGTGAATTTGACAATATCAGCTAACATTAAACATGCATTTAATTTTGGTCCAGAAACCACTGCTAGAAACTTATTCTAAATATTCACTTACAAAACTACAAAAAGACATAAGCACAGGCTATTGATTGAAGACTAACAATGCAGAACAATTCAGCTAAAGGCTTTAACTTGTTTGACTGTACTTTGCTTTAATATGCTTTGCAGATATTGCATTTATTACAAATTGAAGTTTTGTCATGATCCTGCATTGAGCAAGCCTATCAGTGGTATTTTTCTAATAGCATGTGCTCACTTTGTGTCTCTGTGTCACATTTTTGTAATACTCCAAGGATTTCCATTTTTTCCATTATTATTTTATCTGTTATGGTGATCTGTGATCTTAGAAGTTACTATTTACACTTAGATCTCACTGAAAAATAAAAAGAAGTTACCATTATAATTGTTTTGGAGTACCACAAGCCACACCCATAAAAACAAGGCAAACTCAATAAATGGTACTGGCTATCCACAACGGCAAAGACATGGAATCAACCTAAATACCAATCAAAGGTGGACTGAATAATAAAATAGTGGTACATATAAACCATGGAATACTATGCAGCCATAAAAAAGAATTAGAGACTGTCCTTTGCAAGAATGTGAATGGAATTGGAGGCCATTATCCTTAGCAAACTAATGCAGGAAAAGAAAACCAAATACCACATGTTCATACTTATAAGTGGGAGCCAAATGATGAGAATACATGGACACACAGAGGGGAACAACAGACACTGGGGCCTGCTGGAGGATAAAAGATGAGAGGAGGGAGAGGATTAGAAAAAATAACTATCAAGTACTAGGTTTAGTACCTGGGTGATAAGATAATCTGTACACCAAACCTCTGTGACATGAGTTTACCTATACAACAAACAAGTATATGTATCTGTGAACCTACAATAAGTTAAAAAATAAATAAATCATGCGAGGATAAATGCTAGCCATATGTAGAAGACTGAAACAGAAACTCTTCCTTATACGATGTACAAAAATAAACTCAATATGGATTAAAGATTTAAACGTAAAACTTAAAATTATAAAAACCCTAATGATAACCTAAGAAATACCATTCTGGACATAGGCCCTGGCAAAGATTTCATGATAAAGATGTCAACAGCAATTGCAACTAAAACAAAAATTGACAAATAGGACCTTATTAAACTAAAGAGTTTCTGCACAGCAAAAGAAACTATCATAGTAAACAGACAACCTGCAGAATGGGAGAAAATATTTGCAAACTATGCATCTGACAAAGGTCTGACATCCAGAATCCATAAGGAACTTAAATAAATGTACAAATAAAACACAACCCCATTAAAAAGTGAGCAAAGGACATGAACAAACACTTTTCAAAAGAAGACAAACAAGCAGCCAACAAGCATATGAGAAGATGCTCAACATCACTGATCATTAGAGAAATGCAAATCAAAACCACAATGACATATCACCTCACACTAGTCAGAATGTCTATTATCAAAAAGTCAAAAAATAATGCATTCAGGCTGTTCTGCCTTTGGAGCAGCCATTCTTTATTACTTTACTTTCTTAATAAACTTGTTTTCACTTTACTCTCTGATTCACTTCTTATTCATTCTGTACAAGATCCAAGAACCCTCTCTTGGAATCTAGAGATGGACCCCTTTCTGGTAACATCTTTGTGATGAACATGAAGGAAAGATACTGAGGATACCCCTGACCCAAAGGAAGTAGACCACATCACTGAATAGAAGACTTTGGAGTTAAGGAAACTTTTCTTTTGAGCTATTTACAGCTTTTAACAATTAAGTAACAGACGAGGCACAGTGGCCCATGGCTGTATTCCCAGCACTTTGGGAGGCCAAGGTGGGCAGATCACCTAAGGTCAGGAGTTCAAAACCAGACTGGTCAACATGGTGAAATCCCGTCTCTACTAAAAATACAAAAATAGCTGGGCATAGTGGTGGGCACCTGTAATCCCAGCTACTCAGGAGGCTCTGCCTTCTAGGTTCAAAGAATCGTTTGAACCTAGAAGGCAGGGGATGCAGTGAGCCAAGATGACACCACTGCATTCTAGCCTGGGCGACAGAGCACGACTCTGTGTCAATAAATAAATAAATAAGTAACAGGTATTCCAAGGAAAAAAATTTGGAGCACACTGTTTCTTTCTACCTGATTTTTCCAGAATCTGGAAACCATTTGTGAGCATTCTTAACTTATGGCAATATAGTTATTTTCATCAGTGCAATAAGAATCTGTTTTCATTTGAAACAGGACACAATTAGACAAAGTGGTTGTTTCACCAAGGCTTTGACTGAAATGGTATGCTTTTCTTCAAGGAATCCAACTTGACTTATAGAGCCAATAAAAGCACTTTGAGAAAACTGGTCTCATACCTTGTGTA